CGCACGAACCGGTGCGAACCGGCTGAATCCCACCACTGATGACCACCGCATATCTAGTAGGCTCTCGAGATTTCAGGAAGGGAAGTGAACGTTCGAGAATATGACGTGTTACTAGCGTCACGTGACCCCCGTTGTCGTAACAATATACAACATTTTATGCATATAAATAAATATATGTGAGGTGTCCAATACGCATGTATGAACATTACAAGAAGTCATTCATAAGTGTTTTATAATACCAGTTAATCAGTTATACAAAGAACATAACAATAAACTGCAAGGGCATGGAGATACAGGATTTTATATCGACAATAAGAATTGAAAAATATGAGGTCAACTGCGATAACTGATTTGACAAACAAAGAAGTATTCGAAAATGCAGTGTAAGAGAATGTTTCAATTTTGACTTTGAAACATTCAGCAAATAGTTAATTTTCATGGAATTAATAAAAGTAACAAAGAGACTCACATTATGACTAAGAGAAAGGTGGTTTTACCTGAGGTTTTAAAGAAAACAGCTTTAACTGTTGTTTCTCATAAAGTACTGCAGAAGATATTTCAACTGGATTGAAGTGAAATATTCATGAATAGCTGAAATTACCAGTAGTAAACGAAATTCACAGGCAGTATTTTAGATATCATGACAAAATATACACTTTGTGTACCCAGTGTTTTATCTGTTTGGGTGTTATGAATATATTCAGTCAGGTAGATTGAAATATTTTTTTGATAAGCATGCTATTTTACTAAACATTTTCTTAATATAGTTTAATTACAAGATACAGTATTAAATCATGAAAATGCAGACTGTAAATGTACTTAAGGGAGGCAGAAAGTAACATCTACATGGTAAAAACTTTATAAATCATGCCAAAACTAATGCACAACTTGTGAATAAAAGTAAGTCCCTAAGGTAGAACGATGGAAGCATACGTTAAAACTAATGATCAAAGATAATGTTTAATGTCGCCCTACCCTAGTCAACTTGAATATTAGAAACCTGTTGCAGTCTTTACCCCCATTCCCTCCTTGTGGAACTGGACACGCCCACATGACAATCACGTGGTAGGAAGAAGAATAAGGACAAGTCAGCGAGTATAGTGTGTGTGTTCTAGTTGCTTATTCCATGGGCGATAAAATACGTGTGAAGTTTGTAGAAATGCCATTTAACCAATACCTGAAGTCATAGTTCATGGTCGTAACTGTGTACTAATACCCCACTTAACCTCCACACTCAGTTGAACTTTTAACTAATTATAATCCATCAAATCTTGCATTTGAACCTGGTTTTGCCATGTTAGTCTCTATCTTGGAGGAGCCAATGGTATATTTGAAGCCTTCTTTATCACTTTTTTTTCTTTTTTGGTACTGTAGTAATTGACCCCTCACTTTTATCATTTTAGAAAGGAAGTCAATATTTACAAGATGCCCAGAACTTCCTCTACTGCGAGGTCGCTGACAATGCTACCAGACCTGCAACTACTGGGACCAAACTGATGGCCAAAGTCAGGAACGAAGATACATTTCTTGCCAATCCACTGGACATGGTAGAGCTTGTCGTGTTTCTTATTGGTCTGGCCCTATGGTTGTCAGAAGCTGAGATGCCTACTCTATTGATGCTAAGCCTTAGGATGTCCTAGTGACCACATTGTTTTTGCTAGTTGAGCTATAACTGCAGGCAGCTCAATTTTTTTCAGTACTGACGTTGCTGATACCAACTGAGTAGGAAGTAAAGCCTGCAAAGACTTGGCAAAAAAATTCCAGACTTTTTGCTCATACACGTTTCTAACCAACTGTGTTTTTAAAAATATAATTATGGTCATAGAATGGGGCTAAATTATTTTTACTTCAGTTGTTTATTGTTCTCGGTCAATTTTCTTTGGTGTCACATATACTTGCTCAAAAGAAAGATTACTGTGAGAATGTGTAGTAGAAAAACCATGCAGAAGATGGACAGTGATATTTTCCCTTGGTGGGTCAGGTGGTACCTTAGGTTTACATAGTGTATGTTTACTGAGAGGAGTTTCACTACAGAATTTTCTGTTCTCCCCATTCTGGAAAAGTTATAGCTCAAGTTCTAAATTTAAGATAAGTCAGTCTATTATCTTGTACACTCATTACACTTTGATTGTTGTTTATATCCAGTGAAGATTGTATCAGACTTTTTTACGTTGTGTTCAGCCTCGTTTTTACTTCAAACTTAATCAGAGTCAGAAAAATAATAATAATCCCATAATACCGTTTTTGTTTGTCAAATGCAAGCCACTTGCAAATACTAATCATTTTAAATGCTTAATCCTTTTATTAGTGAAGTGATAAGGTACAATTTTAGTTCCATGTAAAGTAATTGTTTTGTGGAGCTTTCGTTTTTATATTGAGTGCATTTTATTATGCTCTTCTCAACTCTTGTATGATTTAACTTGAAATGCCTTCGTACAAGAGGAAATGTCATTTTCCAAGAGTCAAAGAATTTGCAACAAGTTTGTTTTGAATTTCGCCCAAAG